TAATAGTTGCATCTCTTGGGAATAACACAATGGGCTTAAAATTGTGGGTGCCAAGCCTCTCAATTAGCCTAATCCTTGCCTGGAGGTTTCTGATTTGATCCTGGAATGTTCCGCTTTTCCTCAGAACATCCCTATTTTCGTTGGAGAAATGTTGGAGGGTATGGAGTTATGTGACCGACCCCCCCCCCCCGCCAAGGAGATAAGAAACTATGCAACCTTTAGAAGACATCCAAAGGAGCCCTATATAGTTTTATTATGTTTTTATACAGTGGTACCTCTGGTTACGAACTTAATTCGTTCCAGAGGTCCATTCTTAACTTGAAACCGTTCTTAACCTGAGGTAACGCTTTAGCTAATGGGGCCTTGCGCTGCCGCCACACGATTTCTGTTCTCATCCTGAGATAAAGTTCTTAACCCGAGGTACTACTTCCAGGTTAGCGGAGTCTGTAACCCGAGGTGTTTGTAACCCGAGCAGTGGCGTAGCGTGGGTTGTCAGCACCCGGGGCAAGGCAAGTAATTTGCGCCCCCTAACCCATGGATTTGCGCCCCCTAACCCCCAGATGTTGCGCCCGGTGCGGCCGGCCCCCCCTGCACCCCCCACGCTACGCCACTGAACCCGAGTTACCACTGTATATGTTGGAAGCCACCCAGAGTGGCTGGGGCAACCAAGTCAGAAGGGTGGGGTATATATAGAATAATAACAATAATAATAATAATAGGACATCCCTATTTTTTATTGGAGAAATTTTGGAAGGTATGGAGTATGCTGTAGCTTTTAATGCACTGAGGCAGTGTGAGATCCTGCTGACCAAGGGTGCAATACAGTGCTTTTTTCTTAAAAAATGTCTAGGGGTACTCTCATTTTCCTACTCATATTGAAATACTGCCCCTCAGTGAGGCCAAACTTAGAGTTACTAAATGTTTAGGGGTATGTGTACCCCTGCGTCCCCCCAGAAAAAAAAAACCACTGGTGCAATATATATATATATATATACACACGTATATATCAATTGCCTCTCACACTCTATATGTTTCATACATACAAGGTGAGAGGAGATTCTTAACTAAGGCCTGCAACAGAAGGTCTTGAAGGTTACACTGTACCAAATCAGTGTGCAGTGGTGCCTCGCAAGACGAAATTAATCCCTTCCGCGAGTATCTTCGTCTAGCGGTTTCTTCGTCTTGCGAAGCAACCCTATTAGCGGATTAGCGCTATTAGCGGTTTAGCGGCTATTAAAGGCTTAGCGGCTTAGCGGTTTAGCTGCTAAAAGGCTATTAAAGGCTTAGCGACTTAGAAAAAGGGGGGGGGAGCGAAAAAAAATCTCAAGACTCGCAAGACATTTTCGTCTTGCGAAGCAAGCCCATAGGGAAATTCGTCCTGCGAAGCACATTGAAAAACGGAAAACCCTTTTGTCTAGCGGGTTTTCTGTCTTGCGAGGCGTTCGTCTTGCGGGGCACCACTGTGTTTAAAAATCATTTGCTGTTTATACCTAATAGTGATTACAGCAGTGTTATCAACATGGGTCTAAAAGCCTCTGTCTCACACACAGAGACAAAACACACTTCAGCCAACCATATCCTGGCCTGGGCTCTCGCACGGCCAGCAAAAATAAAGTACCTGTTTACGTGACGCTGACCCAGTAGCTTGGCTCACATACTATGGAAAAGAATGAAATCTTACTCTCTTCTACTTTTCTCCCCTGTCTCTTCCCACCTCTCCCCCCCCCTCCGCTCAATCCCATATTGCCTAAAACTGTACACTCTCACTCTGATATGATGGCTTGAAAACAGAGACTCTGTACTACTGTTACCCAAGAAAATCTTCACACACACACACCCCTCCCCTGCTCTGCCCCAGGTAGCAGATTCGTGTCTGGAAAATTGACCCCTTGATTCTTTGAAGTAAGAGTCACTCAGTTTGCAGAACAAGTGAGCTGGAGTTTGGTGGAAAAGTTGACAGAGAGAGAGTCAACTGGGAAAGAGGCTAAGTTCCACACTCCCTTCTTGTCATCTCTCCACATTTGACAATTTACAGCTCTAAATCAGATTCTGGAAAGCCTACTTGCTGGCTGTTTCAAGCTCAAACCAAGCATTTCCCAAAAGCAAATAGTTTGGGTGTGTGGTGTGTGGGTGTGCCTTTGGGGACATTTCCCAAGAAATCTGAGATGCAAGTCCAATTCATTGTCTTTCCCCATCTCTCCTGCTGTATCCTTTAGCTTTCTGCATATTATTATTATTATTATTATTATTATTATTATTATTATTAAGCCACCCATCTGACTGGGTTGCTCCAGCCACTATGGGTGGCTCCCAACAAAATATTGAAAACACAATAAAACACCAACCATTAAAGACTTCTTTAATTATTTTTGCAGACGGGCTGCATGTGGTCACTTCAGGAAATGCTTGCTGAAAATGCTTGACACACTCTTTTCATCAGGAAGTCTTCAAGGATGAAACGGGTTCTGTGATTTGACAACAGTTTGTGAAATCACTTTTAAGCCCTTACACCAGCCAGCCTTAGCTGAAAGAACAGTGATAATTCTAGATCACTCTCCAACCAAAGTTCCCATTGAAAATGACAGTAAATTGCAACATTAAGATTAACAGTAACATAATACACTGGTAAAGGTAAAGGGACCCCTGACCATTAGGTCAGGTTGTGACGCTCATCTCGCTTTGTTGGCTGAGGGAGCCGGTGTACAGCTTCCAGGTCATGTGGCCAGCATGACTAAGCCACTTCTGGTGAACCAGAGCAGCACACGGAAATGCCATTTACCTTCCCGCCTATTTATCTACTTGCACTTTGATGTGCTTTCGAACTGCTAGGTTGGCAGGAGCAGGGACCGAGCAACGGGAGCTCACCCCATCGCGGGAATTCGAACCGCCGACCTTCTGACCGGCAAGTCCCAGGCTCTGTGGTTTAACCCACAGTGCCACCCGCATCCCAATACAGTGGTACTTCAGGTTACATATGCTTCAGGTTACAGATGCTTCATGTTACAGACTCAGCTAACCCAGAAATAGTACCTCGGGTTAAGAACTTTACTTCAGGATGAGAACAGAAATCGTGCGGCGGTGGCGTGGTGGCAGTGGGAGGCCCCATTAGCTAAAGTGGTACCTCAGGTTAGGAACAGTTTCAGGTTAAGAACGGACCTCCAGAACGAATTAAGTTCTTAACCCGAGGTACCACTGTAAAATTGTCCCACTCATAGTCAAAATAACAGCAAAACAAAAGTCACAGTGTACAGGAATCTACCAATTAAACACAGAAGAGAGTTATTTCATTCCGACTGTGAAAATGTATTGGTATCACATGATCTGCATAAAAACAAAATAATAGTAATAATAGTAAATTAAAATTCTGCACCAGGACAAGCTGCTCTGATTTGCGCAATTGATTTGGCTTTTGCTAGTCACAGGTGAAAGCGAGTGGTAGGAACAATTGTTGCTGACTGTTGTTGTGACTACCGTAAATGCAGCCAGGGCTGAATGCTTCACTAGTAAATAATGATATCCTATTTTATATGTTCTGGGGCTAAGCCCTTGAACTGAAACCAAATTCCATGGCTGCTACTTTGCGTAAATATGACCGGCACATTGCAACACTTCTTTTGATGTCTCTGTGTACAAGAGAGAATGTTTAGAAATCGTCATTGGTTCAACAGAGATTCAGCAATGGGAAGTTGCATTCGGCAAGGGGAGAAGTCATTTTCAGGAACTGGTCTTTGGGACACCTCTTGTCTGCTAACTCTCAGCCTGCTGGGCTGGTTTGATAGGAAGTCTTGACGTTCATGACCCTAAGAAGGCTTGATGCTAATGACCCCAATCTGTATATATGATGAGTGCTTCAGAGCTTCATGGAAAACTTACTGAAACTGATGACCTCAAGCTCACTGTAGAACTTGTCATATGTCTCAGCCCATGAGACAGACCACACTGTGATCTCATGCTCAAGTTTCCCACCGCAGCTTGCAAACACAGAAGTTCCTTCTTGATGTCTCTCCCCAACTTTGCATCTAAATTTGGGCAAAGACAGATACAACGTGAGAGTGGTGGAAGTGGCCATTCCTTTCTCTCAAAAACAGATGCAGCCTTACTGATTTGTGATGATTCCAGGGGTGGGAATTGTTTTCTAGGTTTTCATCCATTTGATTTGAGCTGGGGAAAACTGGTTGTGACCAGTGGTGTGTGGAGAGGTCTCAGGTGTGTGCAGTTCTGGGTCTTTTTTCAGCCCGAGCAGCAGGTAAACTGGTGAATTCCTTTTCCTCCCACAAGTGAATGAGGTGATGACAAGGTGTTCAAGCATTACACTAGTTTGGGAGAGATAAGCGCAGAGAAAGTCAGAATGAGGGAGAATTGAGACATGGCGGAGACTGTCATAGCTTTAAGAAATACAGTGGTACCTCTGGTTACAGACGCTTCAGGTTACAGACTCCGCTAACCTAGAAATAGTACCTCAGGTTAAGAACTTTGCTTCAGGATGAGAACAGAAATCATGCGATGGCGGCGCAGCAGCAGCGGGAGGCCCCATTAGCTAAAGTGGTACCTCAGGTTAAGAACAGTTTAAGGTTCAGAACGGACCTCCAGAACGAATTAGGTTCTTACCCCGAGGTACCACTGTATGGTTTATTTACCTATTTACTCACTCTGCATGGAGAGAGTCCAGCTCTTATAGCATGGTCCTTTCAAGAGGGGCTTATCCCCCACAACAGTGCAGCCCTGGAGTCCAAGGCATCTCTCCCAGGCAGCCGGCAGCCAATCTGCCCAAGATGGATCCCAGTCTCTCTCCCCCCCCCCCCCCAGAATAAGGTTACCAGATTTTTTTCAATGAATCCAGGGACACAATCAATCAATCAGTCAATCAATCAATCAATCAATCAATCAATCAATCAATCAATACTACACATTTGGGACATTGATGCTGCAGCGATGGTGGTGGCAGAGGGAAGGGAGGCTTCACACTGCCTTTTGGAGCAGCCCCATCCCAACTCCTACTTGCGTGCAAGCAGGAGGGGGCGGGGATCCCTCAGCTGGGAAGGGAGGCTTAACTGAGAGATCCCTGCCCCCTCCTGCTTACATGCAAGCTCTGATAGGTAGCGTGACGCCTCCCTTCACAGCTGAGAGATCCCTGCCCAGCTCCTGCTTGCACGCAAGTAGGCACTGCTCCGATAGGCAGCGTGAAGCCTCCCTTCACAGCTGAGAGATCCCCGCCCAGCTCCTGCTTGCACGCAAGTAGGCACTGCTCCGATAGGCAGCGTGAAGCCTCCCTTCACAGCTGAGAGATCCCCGCCCACCTCCTGCTTGCACGCAAGTAGGCACTGCTCTGATAGGCAGCGTGAAGCCTCCCTTCACAGCTTAGTTGCTGGGGTCAGGGAAGATGGAGGCAGCCTCCGGAAGCTGCATCTTAGAGCCCCTGTACCACCATCATATGAGGACTTCTGAGCAGCTCCTGAAGCCAGCCAGAGCCAACTGCTCTGGGCTGCTGAGACTGCCGCTGCTGCATTTCCCGGGGACATTAGATGAAATCCAGGGACATTCCGGGGATGGAATTTGTCCAGGGACTTATTCACAAATCCGGGGACTGTCCCCAAGAAATGGGGACGTCTGGTAACCCTGTCCCAGAACACCCTGCTAAAAACTCTGTTTTCCTGTCATCTCACACCCAGTTAACCTGGCAGCCTTCCAAACCCGTAGCCTCTGTTCACACCTCAAGGCAAGGGGGAAGGACAGTTCTCTTGCATTACAATGACCTTGTATTATTTCTTAATGGCCCTAACTCGGCCAGGTGCTTTTGCATAGGCTAGGCCAGGAATTGCTCTGCAGCTTGTATTTCTCCCTTCCCATCCTAAATAACTGAAATCCTACTATTTATTAATTTCTAGGGTTTAAGATTCTTGGGGGGAGTCCCCCCCAAAAGATCTATAACACCATGTATGTGTTTCACATGGCTTCTTGTTAACTAGCTATAGATCTAGCTGAATATGGCAGCTTCCTCTTCCTTCTGGCTGCATTCAGATATACTGAAAAGAGGGCTTCAGACTCACAGTGGCAAGGTGTCTGATGATGGGCAATAAGTTACTTTTTAAAGTAAAATAAAACTAGATCAATTGCTTTGACAGGTTTTTTTTGTTTTGTTTTATTCTCTCTCTGTGTGTGTGTTTTAATACAGTTAAACGGTATACAAATTTTATGAAATAAATAAACAGACTCCTGGAGAATAGGTTTATCCACAGTGTTGTAAACAAAATCTGCCCTTTTCCCCTTATGGGGTATCCAAGAGCCCTTACAGAGTCCTTACGTAGGTTCCCTATTGGTAGGAGTAAATAACAGAGGCCAACCAGAGAATACTGAGAAGCAAAGCAGCTAGTAAGCCTGATCTTTATTAAAGCTGTTGCAACAGGGCGCTCACCTCACCACGCAGGAGGACCCAGAACAAAGGTGTGCCTGCCCTTATATAGACATTCTCTGCTCTGGAGCTCCAGACCATCCCTCCATACATCATACATACATCACAGAAGGGGTGTAACCTAAGACCACCCCCCAGATACATCATACCTACATCACAGAAAAGGTGGTCTACAGCAGAAATCTGAGTGCATTGTTTATCTCGTCTGACAGGTTACCTATTAATGCTCACTTGATTGGATACCCTGGGGAGCCTGGCCAGTCTTTTGTAATGATAAATACTTGGTTCCTGAGCCAGGTCACAGGCTCACCCTATTCAAACACAGACAGACATATCCTTAAGACAGGATTTGTGAAGGAAAAGACAATGGGGAGGCTTTTCCATTTTCCTTTGACCTTGCAGAGAAAACATTTGGTCAGTTTGGGAGCCAAAAATGGTTTCAGGTCGGTCTTCCTGTGCTGATCTATGTAGGTGCTTGGTTGGTACATTTATGAACATTTATTATATATCTAAGACTTTAAAATTCTTATCACAACAGCTAGAAGCCCTGAGAGTTACATGGAAAAAGCCTGCATATAAAGTAGTAGTATAACCAGCAGTATAATCCAGGGTCCCTCCTACACTGGTGTTTTATTGCGGGTGCATTCTGCAATATGTTATGTGCACAGTAGCAGTGCATTTATTTTGCTTTAATTTGTTCTGCGGTGCTTCCCCAGTGCTACCACGCTGTTGATGTCTGAAGGGTCTGTAGCACAGCAAAAGCGGGACAAAAACTAAACCGGAATAGTTGTGGCATAAAAAGCTGCTGGTTTTCAGCAGGAAGTGACGGGAGGTGCACTAACTGGAAATGCAGCAGTTGTGACCAGACCCAAAATGTCTGCAGGTGCAAAAGGTATATTGCAAGAGGTTTGTGTGTGACCTCTCCAATAGATTCATCATGAGCACATGGATATGCAATCAGTACCGGATTTACATATAAGCTAAACAAGCTATAGTTTAGGGCTCCACTCTCTTGCCCCCCCCAATTAAAGGGAATTAACAACTGGATGTACATTTCCAAAATATAAGATAAAAAACAAGTTAAATAAAACCTAAATTCCACAACAGTGTTTTGTGTTGTGTAGGCTCCTATGATATAAGTAAAGGCCCCCCTTGCTCCCTAAAAATATCACTGGTTTGCTCCTTTCTATATATTGGGTGCCTACATTCTGCATGGACTGGTTGCATGGCAACATGTGCAATTGGCTTTAGATACCTATTAAAGGTAAAGGGACCCCTGACCATTAGGTCCAGTCGTGAACGACTCTGGGGTTGTGGCACTCATCTTGTTTTATTGGCCAAGGGAGCCGGCATATGGGTCATGTGGCTAGCATGACTAAGCTGCTTCTGGCAAACCAGAGCAGCACACGAAAATGCCGTTTACCTTCCTGCCGGAGCGGCACCTATTTTTCTACTTGCACTGACGTGCTTTCGAACTGCTAGGTTGGCAGGAGCAGGGACCAAGCAACAGGAGCTCACCCTGTCACGGGGATTCGAACTGCCGACCTTCTGATCGGCAAGTCCTAGGCTCTGTGGTTTAACCCACAGCGCCACCCGCGTCCCTTAGATACCTATTAGGTCCATAAATTACCATATAGCATATATTCAACACAAAAAACAGCAACAATTGGTTGTTGACAAAGGACAGCAAGACATACAGAGGGTCCCATTACCTTCAGTAGCTTAGGGCCTCATCAAACCTCTATCTATCATCTATCTATCTATCTATCTATCTATCTATCTATCTATCTATCTATCTATCTATCATCTATCTCTATCTGTCTATCTATCTGTCAATCTATCTATCTGTCAATCTATCTATCTTTCAGAGATCTGCCTGTGGTTGTTGGAAAGAGTGATTAGACTGGATGGATCTTGTTCTGATCCTTCCTGGCTATATATTCAGCACTGATTTTTGTTCAGGGCTGGTGCAGCTGGAAGGGCTGATCTAATCCTGAGTGAGAAATTCCTGGAAAAAGAATACTTCTTCCAATCCCTCCTTTACCCCCTTTTACTTTGGCATCTGGGTGGGGGTGGGGGTGTTGGTCATTATTTTTCTTTCCCTTTGAGGTCAGTGGCCGACTTCTAAATACACCAGCTCAAAAAACACACCACTCAGCTCCTAAGTGTGCTTTCCATATAGTTGACTTTTCTAAACCCTCTCGCTTTCAGATTAACGTGGGGCCCTCGGGGAGCCTGAGTTCTGAATCTGAGACCAAAACCAGATCACACCAGCCTGCTCTAAATTTGCAACTCTCCACTCCTCCACCGTCCAATAAAAGCCTCACAAAATATTCCATGAAAGCGCAATTCAGTTTACTCATGTTATTATTATTAGCCGATCGTTGGCAAGGACATTTAATTTGAATTAATGGAACAACGTCATCATCATGATTCACCTATATACTTTCTACTTTGCAACCCCTGGAAACCTTTATTCAAATTGGGGTTTTTTCCCCCTTTCCTTTTCCGGATTAAAGGTTTTTGTAGGCTATAAACTGCAAAAACAGCCACAGCAAAAGCCACAGCTTAAAATGGCAAATGGAATCTCTGGGTTAATGGGCTTGAGAGGCAGAGGAGTAGTTTGAGAGAAAGGCTGCGATGTAATCTGATACCAGCTGCTTCCCTGGAGGCAGGAGGTGGAGTGGCTCAGATTTTGTTCCTTTTTGTGCATCAGTTTTGTATTAAACTTTAAAATCTTCGCAAATAAATTCCACGTTTAAAGTTTGTCTCTTTAAACTTTGGCTTCCTGCCTTTCCTTCCATGCTGTTCTTCATTCCATGCCATTTATATGCTACACTCTAATAAACGTTTCGCCTAAGACACATTCTTCTATTTCAAATATTATCATTTTTCTTCTGCTGCTCCTGTTTCGAATTCTGATCACAATTTCATCTGATTATGATATGTTGATATGTTTTCCAGATAACCCAAAAAGGGTTTCCATCCTTCTATAAGTGTAGCTTTTGCAAAAAATAAATTTAAAAAGAGCTCAACAACTTTTGTCTGAATATGGCAACCCTAGTTAAAGATGGATGTTGCTATTTTGTGAACTCTTCGTAAAATGTGAGTCAATGAGGCACAGCTTAGGGAGCAGGCCATTCAGGACTAGAAGCTATACATTTAAAATAACAATAATAAGGAAAGCAGAATAGCACCTTTATTTCACAATTGGGTCCCCCGCCCCCATCCTTGCACAGAAGTACAGTACAGTACAGTGAGAGAGAGGCAGAGGGAGAGACGTGGTTATGATCTCAAGTCTGGCAAAGAGATGCAAACAGCCAAAAGCTACGTGAGGTTCCTTTTTCTTGTTATTTCGGAAGAAACTGGTCACAGATTATGCAACCAAACAAAGCAATTGCTCCAAGACAGAGAGCTTGTGGGAATCGCTATGGCAACATCTGGAATGGAAGTTTTGCCTCATCTTTGTATTTATGAGAGTGTGAAACACAAGGTTTGTGTATATACACAGGAGCCACGGAAAAGGTTTAGTTGGCAAAGATGCTTGCTGTGTCAGTGGCGTAGCGTGGGGGGTGCAGGGGGGGCCGGCCGCACCGGGCACAACATCGGGGGGGGGCGCGCTCGCACTCGCAGCTCTCTGCCCCTACCTGGCTCACTCACTCTCTCTCACTGCAGTGCTGGCTGTGCGAATCCGATCCGAGCCACTGGGTCGCCGCCCACTGTGGAGGGGGTGGGTGCCAGGCGTGCGGTGCGGAGAGAGAGCGAGGGACTATCTGGGGGAGGGACAGTGCAGCGGCCGCCCAGCGCAGCGCTGAGCGCGGGAGAGAACCACACCAGACCAGACCAGGCAGCAGCAAGAAGAAGCTGGCAGCGGCGGCAGGTTAGGGGTTAGGGGGCGCAAATTACTTGCCTTGCCCCGGGTTAGGGGGCGCAAATTACTTGCCTTGCCCCGGGTGCTGACAACCCACGCTACGCCGCTGCGCTGTGTCTCAGTCATCACAAACAGGAGATATCAGAGACCCATTTCTGATGGAATCTGCTCCTGCTCTGGAGAATGCTGTTGGCGCTGATCCAAGGGCCTACTTGTCACGCTCCTAAAAATCACTTCTGAAATTTAAAATTTGTCTTTTAGAATGCAGATGCCTAAAACCCATGCCAACCTTACTACTGCCCCCCCATCCTATCCTAGTTAATACTGCAACCTGTGTGAGGGCCAGACTTTGGTTCTGGCATGCTGTGCCAGCCGAAAATTTGGCTCCCTCCACCTTTCGCTTTCCATTCTGCACATGCAGTACGTCATAGTTGCGATGCCCTGTGGCACCCCCCTTGGCTCGGCACACACTGCAGGGCAACCAGTTGCACTTGCCTAAATCTCCCTCTGCTGTGTGTACACTGGTGGGGTGGACTGCAATAAATGTCCCAGGCTAGCACCCTATGGCCACACTGTTGCACACCACCCTGGGACACGGGTGGTGCTGTGGTCTAAACCACCGAGCCTCTTGGGCTTGCCGATCACAAGGTCGGCGGTTTGAATCCCTGGAACGGAGTGAACTCTGATTGCTCTGTCCCAGTTCCTGCCAACCTAGCAGTTTGAAAGCACGCCAGTTCAAGTAGATAAATAGGTACTGCTGCTGTGGGAAGGTAAATGATGTTTCCTTGTGCTGTGGCTTCCATCACAGTGTCCCGTTGCGCCAGAAGCAGTTTAGTCCTGCTGGCCACATGACCCAGAAAGCTGTCTGTGGACACATGCCGGCTCCCTCGGCCGAAAGCAAGATGAGCGCAACAACCCCATAGTTGCCTTTCACTGGACTTAACTGTCCAGGGGTCCTTTACCTTCACCTTCACCACCCCAATCTCTGAGCGGTGCAAGACTGGGAGTTCCAGGCGTTTACCTAGTGTTCAGTTTCCTTGGAATGTGGGACACATCCTGGAGACTGTGTCATCTTTAAGATACATGGTTTATTTACACATACAGTGGTACCTTGGGTTAAGAACTTAATTCATTCTGGAGGTCTGTTCTTAACCTGAAATTGTTCTTAACCTGAAGCACCACTTTAGCTAATAGGGCCTCCTGCTGCCACTGCACTGCCGCTGCACAATTTCTGTTCTTATCCTAAAGCAAAGTTCTTAATCCGAGGTACTATTTCTGGGTTAGCGGAGTCTGTAACCTGAAGCGTATATAACCTGAAGGGTATGTAACCCGAGGTACCACTGTATATGCAACCTGAACCTACGATGGAGGGGATCACGGCATCAACATCCCAGAAGGTATTGCTTCTCCCATAGCCACAGCCTTGGATTCAAGCAGAAATCAAGCATTGTTCTTTCTCTGGCAACTGCCTGCTTCTAGCCTAGCTCTCTTAACACACCTCTATTGTCCTTCTCACTACCAGCCAAGTATGGAAAGGAGCCCACCCATCTGGCTTCTGGCACAAAGCCACTTCCTTTGTTACACAAAGGACCTATAGCATGCATAGGCAAACTAAGGCCCAGGGGCCAGATCTGGCCCAATCGCCTTCTAAATCCAGCCCGCGGACGGTTCGGGAATCAGCATGTTTTTACATGAGTAGAATGTGTGCTTTTATTTAAAATGCATCTCTGGGTTATTTGTGGGGCATAGGAATTCATTCATTTTTTTCTGCAAAATATAGTCCGGCCCCCCACAAGGTCTGAGGGACAATGGACCAGCCCCCTGCTGAAAAGGTTTGCTGACCCCTAATCTACAGTTAACTCACCAAGAAATTTGCCTGGCTTCTTCAACAATGAAATTTCACAATACCATTTTTGCCAAGCCACCTGATACATAGCCTCTCCACTTGCTTCTAGCAAGACAGGATGTCACCACCAGGCCTTAGTCTCCATTTCTCCCCACAAACCTGAGGTATATTACCGCCTGTGCTCTCTGGTCAGTATTTCCCTCCATCAGGAGAGAAAGCTGCGGTCTGCAGTAGCCCTTCAGAAGCTGCAGATGGAACAAGCAATTCATAATGTTGTTGTTTCTGGAGACTAATGGCAAAGAGCCAAATGCAATGATTGTCAGGATGCCCAGAACACTGGACTGGGCTATTACTACATGTCTCCCTGATTTATTAGGGCTTTTTGGATTATTTTAGCTGCTCTCAACTAAAACTTTTAGAAGTAGAGTTTGAATTTTCCGCCTTGTATTGTCTTTCAGAATTAAGGATACTGCTGCCAAGGTAGCCCATAAAATGCCTTTCAAGCTGCCTCTGTCCAGTTTGTCCACGATGGTGTCAGGCAACCAGGCATGCTGTTGACATAGCAGTCCATGGGTATTTGATACTCTCCGCTCTTCCTCAGGGCTGCCTGACCTTAAAAAGACTATCAGCAAAATGTGCCCCGCTCCCAGAGGAAAACCTTTTGTAAAGTCTGGGACTTGCAATGTGATGTTGCTGTCCTTATCAATGGTGCAGCTTGACCGAGACTGATATCCATTAACACAGGGGGTGGGCAATGTGATTTTAGGTTTGTTGACACAAGTGTCTTTTTAAAGGTTGCAGTGCTTTGAATATTTAGACTGAAGTTCAACAGGAATCTACTGAAGTTGTTTCTCAGGTTACTCTTATCTCTTGCATTTACAGTTGCCTTGTTCTCAGTTAGAGCAGTGTGTTCTGTTTGGGGTTTCACCGTGCTAGGAGGATACTCACAAGCCGCCATTTTTCAATTAGTTTCTTTTCCAAAAAGAAAAGTAAGAATGGGTGAGGGGAGAAGATGGAACAAGTAGGACAAAGCAGAGTTGGAGTTGGGGAGAAAGGAAGAAAGCTGTATGAAAATCAATGTGGCCATTGGTTCTGCTTTACAGAAAATTAATAATAAATAATAATAATAATAATAATAATAATAAAAAATACCCCACTCATCTGGCTGGGCTTCCCCAGCCACTCTGGGCATCTTCCAACAAAATATTAAAATACAGTAATGCATCAAACATTAAAAGCTTCCCTAAACAGGGTTGCCTTCAGATGTCTTCTAAAAGTCTGGTAATTGTTGTTCTCTTTGACATTGGTGGGAAGGTGTTCCACATGGCAGGTGCAACTACTGAGAAGGCCCTCTGCCTGATTCCCTGTAACTTGGCTTATCACAGTGAGGGAACCACCAGAAGGCCCTCAGCACTGGACCTCAGTGTCCGGGCAGAAAGATGGGGGTGGAGACGCTCCTTCAGGTATACTGGGCCGAGGCCATTTAGGGTTTTAAAGGTCAGCACCAACACTTTGAATTGTGCTCAGAAACATACTGGGAGCCAATGTAGGTCTTTCAAGCTCTTTCAAACCGTCCTCTATTTGAAATGTTTTTTTCTAAGCAGCCACACAAGCCACCAGGACTTTCCCACTGTGGTGCAGTATACCACATTTGTTTATATATTTATTACTTCAGTTTTGAAAGAATTTGTATTTCTCATATTGCTTCCTTTTGGTTGGGATTTCTAAACCTCTTAAACGTATATAAATTGGCGGTATACTAACAGTATTTCTGCTTAAATCATCAAAAGAAGGCTCTTCCTGCAGGAAGCTTGGGACAAAAGAGTTTGCTAATTTTGCAACATCACTGCATTGCAGGTTTAATCGCCTTGGTTTTAAGGGGCTTATCCTTTGAAATGTTTTGATGTCAATAGCCCACCTCCCCCCGCAACCCCCCGGAGTAGAAGAAAAGAGTGCAATAATGTTCTAGTAAAATAAAAATAATTTATTAAAACATATCTGCTCTTCAAAAGGACAACTTCACTGAAGTTTGTCCTCAAGTCAGTACTTTCAGCATGGGTAGGAGTGTTCAACACAACCAGAGTCTACCTACACACACATACATATATCTACAGCTGTTATTTTAAGTCTGGGCTAAGTTCTGCTCCATCTGCACCTTCATGCAGGCAAACTTTGACCCCAGTTAACCAGCCAGTCAGCATGCTCTGTTTTAAGTCAGTCATCTCTGCATGAAATGTTAACAGTTAACGTCAGAATTTATGTTGAGCAGTCGCACATCTGTGCAGAGATGCAAGCTCTGTAGGGAACCCGCATGAGGAACCCTATAAATTATTATATGCTGCCAGTTGTTTAGGAAAAGTAGAGACAGCGAAATATTCAAAGCATTTTCTATGTCCCAGAAAAAGTTGGTCTGCGCAGAGCTACTCCAGAGCTTATTTATTTTAGCAAGGGAGGCTGATCTTATCTGGCTTAAGAGTGTCAACGCATCCATGTTGATAGATGGATCTGGATGACCCAAAATGCGTAAGACGCTCCTTGCCAACAGCATCTTTTTAATGAATTTTCCCTAGTAACTGGCCAGCAGTTTCACTTGGGTTTTCCTTGTGGACTATATTATTGCAGCGTGCTGTAATCTGAGAACTGCCAGAGTCAATATATGCCCATCCTCCGTGGAAACATATAAGTTACATTTGGGCAGATCTCCTGCACAGTCAGTTCATTTCAGTCCATCCAGCCTGCAAAGACATGGGCTTCCTCCTTAACGGAAAAAAAATGGCACTCTTTTCCGTTTTGCTTCCTCTTCCCTCCCGGACTTGGAGTTCATGTCGCCTGAGGCTCCTTATGGATTGGCATTTTACACAACTCCTGGTAAAACTCAGACTCCAGGAACCGTGGATAGGCATTATTCTCCATCAAGCTATAGACTCTCTTCTGGGCTGTGCTGAAGCAAGTGTCTGTAGCCTCTTGGAGGTTCTGAGCAATGGTATTTTTGGTCTGAAAGTCTATGTTGATCTGAAATTAAAGGAAAGAAAGAACATGAATTGCCCATTCCGGATCAGACCCAAGGAATCATTTAACCTAAACCTCTGCTCAACAGTGGCTAGCCAGCTGCCTTGAGACATTCCCAAAGATGAGTGACCTTCACCTGCTGCTTACTCCCAGGATCTAATAATCTCAGGTAAACTGCCTCTAAATTTGGAGGCTGCATTCAACTGCTGTGACAAATGGCAACTGACAGAGAAATTCAGGAATGCATATAGGCCTAACTGTTTGCAGGTCATCAAAGCCAAAAGTCATTGCACCCCCTCTTGCAACAAGGAACTGTGTTCCAGCATGCTCATATATTTCCACAAGAAGGCCAAGCAATTTGTGGATGAGCAGAATTCTCCTATCCCTCTGTACTGTGAACACCGGTAGAATGAATATAGCTTGTGAGTGGTGGCATTTTTCCTTTGGTACAGATTAAGGGGAGCTAAAAAGCCACCAGACTCATGGTAGCCAAGATTAGGGCCGGTGGTTTTAATACCAGTGGGATTTTAACTGGGTAAATGATGCTACTCTTTTTTCTACTAGTAAAATACTTTGCACCAGTCGTGTAACATGATGCTTTGCTGTGTACAGACTCTGCAGTAAAGTCCCTTGTTGTGGTATGCAGCTACTTATATTAAATGCTACCTAAAAATTGGATGTATGGGAGATCCTTTGGTGTTAAGTTTCCCATAGCCTTCACCTTAATGAGAATGTGATGTCCACTTCTCACAGCCTAAGATCATGTAGGGCCTATTTTAAGTTGCATTTTTCTTTCAATTGTGAACTCTGGACTAAAACCCTAGGAGAATTGTACACGGAAACCAATATATCAGAACTGCCAGATCTGTATGGATTTAAATAAGAGTTCTGGAGCAGGCATTTATAGAGTAGCCTTCCCACAAGCTGGTGTTCTCTAGATACTTTAGACTTCAGACCTCATCAGCCCCAGCCAGCCTGCCCAATAATTAGGTATTTTGGTAGTTGTAGTCCAAAATATCTGGAAGCCACCATATTGAGGAAGGATGCTATAAAGACTAAACTTTCTTGTGGATTCTCAGTTATGATACAGTTGTTTTTCAAGTGGATTTCTTTCCTGGGAGTAAATTACAAATGTCAAATGGCTAGCAAATGAGCCTGGGAATAAGTATTCCTAATTCTAATGATGCCACTGAAAGGAATAGAAAGTGATGAGAGAGTGAAAAAAATAAATAACTTGGGAAGTTTTGCTTACCTCTTTGGGAGCTTCCTTTTCAATAAAGTCACTGTAAATCTTCTTAGCCTTGGCAGTCATTTTCTGTGGGGACTTCGTTTTCTTGAAATCCTCACAAGCCAGCCAGAAGTCAATGTTCTCTTCACAAAACTCAGATTTCAAGAATGCTCTGAACGCTGCCAGACCATCTACAAAGGAAGGTGAAAGAGATGGATTAGCTCAAAACATCCCAGGAATGCTGTGTGTATATATGCATTACGTCTCTCTTGTTCACTCTGCAACTTCCTCGGATCATTTAAATAAAAAGTACCAAAACTCGCCCCCACTTAAAAAAAACAAAAAAACCCAGAGTATGAGGAATCTAAAGTGACCAGTCAATTTTACATTCTGTATTGTATTTTTTCAAGCAACTTGTGTTCTTTTCCAAGAAGCCTTGAAAGTGAAAGCAGGGAAAACATTCTACAATTTCTCTCCTGCCGTTTTGAAATTGTGTATTAATCTTTAGATGTTTATGGAACTTCTGGAAGGTATCTGCAATGGAAAGGCTGACTCAAGAGTCCACTTGGCAGCAAATGCCATATAACTAATGAGAAGTCTGCATTTTTTCATTAGCTTAGCAAGTAAAGGCATAGCTGCAGAGTGAACTGAGCTCCCATACAGGAGCTCATAGAGGAACAGATCAAAAAATGGATCTTATTAATGAGAAATGTGCATCAGAGCAAGGCACAAGGCAGGTGCGTTTCTTACTCATTATAACCAACGATACAGGCATCAGAGTGCACTGTCTGCAGGAGACCTTAGCCAAAGTTGACCGAAATCGATTAAAGGCTCCTAAATATTGCAGGAGCTTTGAACTGAACGAATATTGGGCACCTTGCAGCCCGGAGACTCTTTTTTAAATGCAGCGCTCTAGTGGAAAAGGCTACATTTTAAGCCAGTGGTGCTACATCTGCATATGGCGCAGAAAGTCCAAACAGTAATGGACACTAACTGAAGTTGGAGGGCAGTTGGCACCCCATAATAATCAGCTACTTGGCAGGTGCCTATTGGAAAAACCTGGATCACCCATCAAGGCATTTCGCAATCAGCCAGAGAAGTACACGGGAGATTACAAGAATGGATTTTTAACAGCACCCAGCTGTTCTGCACGGCATGTGCAAGACTAAGGGTTAGTGGAGCCTGAATCTGTGCACTACAATCTGCGCACAACTGCTTTACTGTCCCATAGTGTGATCAATTGCAGGGCTTTTAAACGAGACTTTTCCTACAGCGTGCAAGCACCGCTCAGCACACCGCCTTGCCACGTGCAGGAAGAAACTGCTCTCTTCACTGCAGATGTCTATTCTCCAGCCTACATAGTTCCAAAGGAATGCTAGGCCAGCTAAAAATACAGGCTAGTTATGGAACTGCAAAACAGGAGAGCTCTTGCCATGGGAAGCGCTGTGGAGTTATGCCTGGAAAGAATCATGCTTTCTATGAATATGGGTCCCAAAGCAGCCACAAACGCCCATGGGAACAGCTAATTCCTATCTTGCAAAGCATCTTTTCCAGGAGAACCCTCACAAAAGGAGCCACTATTCTTGTCTGTTAATGTCTTGCTCATTAAATGAACTTACATTTGTTAGCGAGCAGCTCATCAAATGCTTCCGACCATAGCTGGGCTTCCTCGGGAGACGGCCTGGAAGAAACAGGAGAAAAATAGGACGATTATTATTACTGCTTTGGTTGCCTATTGCATAGATTTTTAAAAATAATGAAAATATCCACTGGTGAGAAAAAGTGAGATGCATACCTAAGAAATGCCTTTTGCTGCCCTTTCTTGTTGGCCTTTGCAGTGGTAGAACTGGAAGAGTTCTGCAGGAAGTAACTCAGCCGTGATTTCCAATCTTTCATGCTAAAAGAAAACAAAGAAAAATCAAGTTCAACTAACTGTACCCTTTGATTTTAAAGTGCAAAGAAGTCTGAATCTGCAGCTGATTAACATAAACTGAGTTCTGTTTGCTTAACAAAATTCCCAGATTTTAATCTAGCACCCGATTTATGCCCAATAACTTCTTTTATCTCTGTACAGACTTTCACTGAAAAGCATTATGCTTCAGCCCTGGTGGCCCATTAAAGCACATGCAAGTTAGTTCTTGCATATTCATTATTTGCTGAATGCATCTGCAAGACAACAAGGACCAATTACCGAGAACAATTTCAGCAGGATCAGAGATAAATTCTGAGAATAGGGAGTTCAATGCAATCATTATTTTTTTTTTAAATTACTTGCTCATGCCTCTTTCCCTTCACACAAAATGCTAGACTTGTGAGAATTAAGTTGCAGACTCCCTGTTAGTAGAATGGCAGGACAAATGGTAAAATGAATCTTATGCATGCTTCCTTGGTAGTAAATTCCACTAACCCTAACAAGAGGACACACAATGGATCAGGTTCTGAATCTCGCTTTCCTGGTATCTGGAAATATCACTCGGGCTTTCAATACAGTACCATAAAATATCTGCATGCTGCAGCCGATCTAATATTAGTACAATACTGCAAAATATCCCGATTGATTCTGCAGAAGATGGACAGCCAAGCCAACCTTGGCAACTCTATCCTGTAGCCAGAATGCATTTGAAACCATGCCAAGCAGCAGATACCATTTACAGGTTTTTCGATTTTGATCAACAGGCATGCTCTACAATATTTGGAAGACAATAGTGACTTTTGTTTTTTTTAAAAAAAGCACAAGGCTTCGAACATCAGCTGCCTTTTGCTTTAATTGCATACTTCCTCCTCACGCTAAAACAAATGGAAAGACCCTTTTGAAAGGATAGATCGCCTCTCATACGCGCCAGTTCTCAGTTCTTCATTCAGAATGTTTGCGGATCAGACTTCACAAAGAGATTCTTTTCCCATCCGGAATACAAAACTCCCGAGGCAATGGGAAGCTTGGGTGCTTAAGTGCATGCAAAAACACGCTTTGTTAAGACTGAAACGCAACACGGCTTGGAATGAAGGACGATCCAGGCACAGCGAAGCAGTTTTAAGACCCAGTCATTCCCATAGGAAGAGTATTAGCCGCAATTCCTGGGAGCTTGTGGGGCGCTGCAAACTCCTGCCACCCTACACACGTTTTCTATTAAGCCTCGCTGAGAACAGTAAGGAAACTTAAGGCTGAACTGTAAGAGAGCACTCTAGGACATTCCTAACGGTCCTTTGCAGAACTGTTTCATGCCTGTCCCAAAAATCAATCACACCTGCAAGCCTTAGCCTACGCTCCGCCGGTGCCGGACAGTGCAAGCCTCTGAGCTGCACAGAACCCTTCACCCAAAACCGCTCCGCCTAACTCCCTAAACTTGCGACCAAAAAACAAAAGAAAATAAAACGAAACCAGAAGAAAAGCATGCACAGCATCCGCGGGGGGAATCCCTTTTACCACCTCCAGCATTAAGAGCAGAACTTTGCTCCAGCACGAAACATTCCGATCCAAAAAAAGAAATGTGGTTTACAAGTAGCCCCTTCTCCCTAAAAGAGAATCTGCCTTTCTAATGGTCACCCATTGGATTTTTGCCTTTTAACTTACATGGTTCTCTTCATCTTCCCCTTTTTCTCTTCTTTGCTCTGGCAGTTGCTGGCGCTCCTCTCCATTGGGCTGCAGTTGTGCTGGAGAGCCAAAAACATTGCACTCTGCATAATCGGAATTTCCGCTTCGAGGTGCTTCCCCGAGCTCTGCTGCGAGATACTGTAACTGAGCTTTCGCCGGGGCTCGCCTTTTATATAGAGGAAGGCTGGCGGGGGCGGGGTTTCGGCCTCACGCCTTCCGCCCGCTGATTCGCTTTAGCGCAAGGGACCCAAGCCAAGGACGCCTCCCAACCCAGTCGCTCGCCAGCCAGGCTCTGACGCAGGCAGTGCGCTCCCGTCTTGCACAAAAGCAGCCGGGCTGGTGCAAGCGCTTCTCTCCCCTCTTGCAATGCTTAATCTTTTGTTCTCCCCCCCGTAACAACAAAAAAAGACTTTTGAGAGACTCGCGTTTTTTGGCAGCTGGAAACGGGCGAAAAATAGACTTCACGAGCCGCCTGCAAATTGGGGGTACGGTTGCAGGAGATAAAAATATTCCGGTGACTTTTCTGCTTTGCAGCTAGGTGGATGGCGAGAGCCTTATATGGTGTTGATTTCATTTTATGAGGAGAGAACTTGCAAGAGACGGGAGCGGGGCTGGGGTGGACCCGCACATTTTAAATATCGGTAAATTCCCACCCACCTTTCATCAACAGCCTCAGATACTTAAACACACCGGGGAATAACACCCTGTGATATTTTTAGGTAACAGTTTCTAGGATCGCGCACGTTTAGGTTGCAATCCGTTATACACAGTTACCTGACATAAAGTCCCACAAAAACCAGCGGGGTTTACTTCTGAGTAGACATGCATAGAATTGCATTAGCTAGTGCACGTTTCTGCCCCTTTTCAAAGAGACCTGCGACAAACCTTGCCAAAACGATCTTTGTAGGACAAGCATCTCTTAAAGCACTAGCTCCCGGAAATGCAATGTTTTGAACCTAGGCTGGAAGGGATTTTGCTCCCTTCTTTTTTGGTAGGTAGTTTTGCACAACCTGCCTGTGCTTGTTTTTATCCTGTTTTGCTGTGTCTACAGAAAAATACTCCAATGAGCTAAGAAAGTTTCTTATCCTGAACCTGTTCCCTGGATGGAACCGAGGTTGCAGCGAGCCTCAAAAACACATGCATGCACACACAATACAATGCACATTTAGCCCGTTAGGAAACCAGGTCAGTTTGGGACTTAGATCTGAACCCAGGGTTCAGATTCCACTGCACCCCAAAGACTGATTACTGGCTTGATTTCAGACTGCGTGCTCTCAGTGTTAGGTTCACATGTTCACAAGAGAAATGACAACCGAGACCTGCAAAAAAGAAGGAAGGAAGGTTGCAGTGTCCTTTTCAGACAACTCTTCCAGGACACTCCATTTCAGCCACATAAGGATTGGCACTCTGAGAATCATAATTACCGTAATTTGGTATTAGTGGGCTATATCAAGACAGATTTTCCCTTCTCTCTTTGGTCTCCACAAATCAGTTAATAGAATCCTGAATATTATTTTTTGTTAAAGGAGGGAGGGCGCTCTTTAATTTCCCTTGTCTTTATGCTTGCACTTTGCTCAGAAATCTGGATCTATTCGTTGCTATGAAGATCTTTGGCCAGCAGAGTCTGATCTGAGACTTTCGGTCTAACATCATTTAGGCATGTAGCATTTCACATTTCCCTCCCTGCTTTACTACTTGTTTGTCCTGAAACTTTTCTCTGAGAGGATACATTAAAAAAAAAAAAGACAGAAAAAAAGAGGAAATGCAGGGGGACATTAATCGCCGGGAGTATTATATAACGCAAAATGGTTGCATGCTCAGCCTTGTCTCACTATCGCTTCCACTACTGCTTTCTCCAGACATTGACTGCAAAATGTTGCATCAGAATCAGCCCACAGTAAGAGAGCTTGTCTCGGTTTTTGAGCAGTTGGGAAAATACCAGCTACCGTGGGAAAGAGTAGCAATGTCACGTTGTAGGGGAGTGGGCACAATAATCCCCTGGGTAAACTTTTCACCCAACTTGGATGGCTTCAAAGAAGGATTAGACAAATTCATAGAGGGTCAGGCTATCAGTGGCTACCAGCCAAGCCGGGTATATTTTACTGCCACTGTTGGAGGCAGCATGCCTTTGAATGCCAACCGCTGGGACTCCCAGCTGGGGAGAATATCTTTAGAATAGTAGAATTATAGAGTGGAAGGGACCCTGAGGATCATCTAGTTCAACCCCCTGCAGGAATATGCAGCTATCCCATACAAGGATTGAACCTGCAACCTTGGCATTTTCAGCACAACGCTCTGGCCTTGTTGCACTCAGGTCCTGCATTCAGACTTCTCAAAGGCAGCTGGCTATTATTATTATTTTATTTATATCTATTAGTCACTTTGTTGTTGTTGTTGTTGTTTAGTCGTGTCTGACTCTTCGTGATCCCATGGACCAGAGCACACCAGGCACTCCTGTCTTCCACTGCCTTCCGCAGTTTGGTCAAACTCATGCTGGTAGCTTCGAGAACACTGTCCAACCATCTTATCCTCTGTTGTCCCCTTCTCCTTGTGCCCTCCATCTTTCCCAACATCAGGGTCTTTTCCAGGGAATCTTTTCTCTGTCAAGTTGTACCAAGAATTTCGAAATGAAGAGACTTCCTGTTCAGAGACCTACTTTCAGTGGATCATCCACGGTGTGCCAACAGTCGAACCAAATTGTTAAAAACTTTAATTTGCAGGGCGCCTCACAGTTACCATCTTCCCAAAGTAAAATAACTGAATTTGTTGTTACATCTTCTGTCCTTAACAGAGAGTCTGCCCCCCCTCCATTTTGACTGTTAAAAGAACAACATAGAAGTCCCCAGCTAGCAGTCCTAAGTTGGAACATTGCTGGCTGGAAAAGGAAAAGATTAGATCCCGAATTTCTGTCCTATATAAACTCTTTCCAGATAATCCTTTTGCAAGAAACATGGGAAGAAGATAAAATAGATATAAATGGCTTTGAACTGATATCACTTCCAGCTATCCCCTCCCAGAAAGGTGGCCGGTCCAGAGGCGGTCTTGCAATCGCCATATCGCTTAAAATGAGAGCTAAACTCTCGCTAGTTCATACCTTTCCTCCTTTTGCTTTTACTGGTCTGATTTCAAGTGAAAAATTCTCATTATTAATCACCAATGTTTATCTTCCTCCAGGTGGTCTGATATCAGACCTTCATTATAGATGGGATTCTCTGGAAGATCATTTATTGGCATGCTATGTTAAGTACCCTAATATTCCATCGATAATGGGTGGTGACTTCAATGCACGTACAGCTGCCAACTGGAATGGGATAATTAAGGCCAAGTGGTGGGTATCTCCCCCCTACCCAAAATCTGATTTAATCTCTTTCACATCAAGAAGATCTAAGGACAACAGAGTGAATGAGGCGGGAGTCCTTCTTTATCAATTGGCCATTCGTATGAATTTGAACATTCTAAATGGCAACTGCCCTCCGGACGTGCCAGGTGAATTCACTCATTTGGGCACAACATCAAATAGTGTCCTAGATTATCTTCTAGTCTCAGAAGACCTATTTTCAAATTTCTTTTATCTCAAAGTAGATAATGTACAATCCAGTGATCACCTACCTCTAGCGGCCAAGCTAACGCTTGACTGGCACCCGGTTAGCGGAACACACCCAATTCATGTAGGTTTAAATGCCACAGCTCAAGTAAGAGGCATTAAATGGTCCATGAAACAGGCCCAAAAATATGCAGAATTCTTTCAGAGGAATAGCTCCGAATCCCTTATTGTTTCATTGGCGGAGCTGTCTGAACCAAATAGGATACTGGAGTGGTTCTTCCACTTCTCTGCAGATTTAACTAGTTTCTTTACGATGCCGGCTCACCTCGCTAACCGAGATCAACCCAGGTTCGGTGCACCTTGGTTTGATGCCAAATGTAAGCAAGCTAGACTCTCTCTCTGTTGTATCTACAACAGATATAAAGCCTCTGGAGCTGAAACTCTCCCCCCAGAGTACTTGCAGGCCAAAATTGCTTACAAACAGGCTCAGAAGTCAGCCAAGCACGAGTGGCAGCTAAGACGTTGGCAAGCGCTGATTGCTGCCTCTAAGCTTCGCAGCTCTCGCGGTTTTTGGAATTTAATCAACAAAAGATCGAGGAAATACCCATTGACGGTTATCCCAGCCCCGACATGGGAACAATTTCTAAGAAAATATTTCTCCCAGACAGACATCTCTAACATCCAATCTGATACTCTCTCAAGTCACTTGCCCATATGGCCAGATACTGACCCGGAGGAAATAGTAGATTTAATTGCCAAACTGAAAACTGATAAAGCCCCAGGGCCCGATCTGATCCCGGCGGAAGCTATTAAACAACATCCAATATGGTGGGCTAAAATTCTTGCAAAAATCTTTGATGCAATCAATGCCACGGGCCAGATACCTACATCATGGAAGGAGTCCATCATAATTCCTATATATAAAAAAGGACCACCAGAGGACCCAGGAAACTATCGTAATATCAGTTTATTATCAATCATCGGAAAAATCTACACTCGCTTCTTGCTAACCAGACTAACCCAATGGGCCGAAGATTCCAATCTGATAGGCCATGAACAGGTCGGGTTTAGACCAAATCGCGCTTCTATTGACCATGCTATAATTCTATATCATTTGGCGCGGAAATATTCTTCCCCTACTCATGGTCTTCTATGTGCCGCTTTTATAGACCTGAAGGCGGCTTTTGACAGTATCTCTAGAGAGCTGTTATGGGAAAAACTGGCAAAGTGGGGCATAGAAAAAAGGCTGTTGTGGCTATTGATTAAATTACATGAAGGGACGGCTGCTAGGGTGAGGTTAACACCTGAGGGCGATCTAACAAACTCAGTTCCAATAAACAAGGGGTACGACAAGGGTGTATCCTTGCCCCTATCTTTTTAACCTCTATATTAGTGACATGAGGACGCCCCTAGCTGAGGCCCAAACCTCCATTCATGCACCCAGGCTTGCAGACTATCGCTGCCCCTTATTATTGTACGCTGACGATGCGGTGATCCTCTCTTATTCTCGAATCGGTTTGAGGAGGGCCCTTAAGATTTTTGCATCATATTGCCAAACAAATTTACTTACTATTAACCATTCCAAATCTAAAGTCCTA